CTCAAATATCTTATACATTTAAAACGTTATGAATGAATTCAGGAGTGAAGGGCAAAAGCTAACATTTTATGCAACTCTATCAATGTATCATTTTTCTATCTAATCCACTTATGAGTTTCTTCATATAAAGAATGCAAATATTAAATTAAAAAGAATGCAAGATCATATCTCCTGAAGACTTGGTAAAAAGTAAAATGACACAGCTGCCTCCAATTAGAGGATAATGATGCAACCTGTGTCCACCCCAGTTCCCCAAAGAAGTAAATTCATATTCTCTTAAAAGTCAAATTACATGTTTGTGTCCAGAGCTGACTTCTGTATGTCGTTAATTTTAACATAAAACCATTAAAAACATCTAATTTGTCACATTTTAATTAAGCACCAAAATTCCCACACAATGCCAGAAGTTACACATTCAGATCCCCTGACTTCATTTGATTTAAAGACTGGTTAGTATTAATCCTTAATGACCGATATAAACATCATTCCTCAAGAAATGAATAGGATTCAGCATCATATCTCCTCAGGGAAACACAGCGCTGGGCTCAGTTTCAGGACTACTTTGTTTTTTGAACATTCCTTTAATTCACTAAATAAAAATCTGCCCACAGGTAAGTGAACTAAGTGAAATCTACTGATACTTAATTGAGATGATGTGACAAAGCAGAGACTACCCAAATTATCATTCCCCTCCGTTTTCCAGTTCATTTCCCCAGTAAATCACACCAGGGTTAAATAAATAATACAGAGAACTATTTGAAAGACTTGATATCTAGTTTTTATATATTGCTGTCCTACACCTAGTGAACTATCAAGGACTTTGACCAACTTTTGCAGTAATGGAAATAGATTTAGGGTGATTACATGTTTAGTACTTTTGATCAATGGCATGTATTTCACGGAGCAAGGGCATAGGATATGCCTTTGACAAAACAAACTGGCTTACACAGAAGTGAACCTATTAACCTGAGCCTTATTTATGCTCTAAACTGAAAAGCCTAGGCTTTTAAAATTTTTAGTAAAATTCAAGAATTTAAACAAGATAAAATCAAGATAACTTTTTATTTTCAGCTTGCAGTTCCAAAGGACATATTTCTGATTATAAGTGGGATGTTATTCTCACACCACTTTGGGGAGGGTAAGATTCTAAGTTCCTTCAGGGCAAGGACCCCAACTTATACCTATTTCTACTTTATCATACCAACTTTTATTTTTGTTCATTACCTCTCAAGTGACCCACGAAATTTAGAACTTTAAAGCCCTAAAGAAGAGCAATCATTTTTTTTAAACTATGATTTTCAGCCTCTCATCTTCCCTGTAATTGGCACAAAGCCACACTTTTCACAAGGTATACTGCATTCAGCTTAAATCAGCAAAATTTTGAGAGCATACTCTATGTTGAGCATACTATTAGTGCTATAGGAGATTAATAAAAATCTTTTTTTCTCAAGAAATTTATGTGTGAAAAATCAAACCTGGTGTGTGAAAGTTAAAAAAAAATACAAAAGCAGTATATAACCCAGGGCTAAAATGAGTTACATATATTAAATGCCAAACTAATGAGATATTTAATAAATTTATTTATAAAATTTAAAACATTGCTTTGTGTATTTTGCTGCTTATATAGTTATTAGTTCTTTAAGGAATCTACTCTGCAATTTTTTTTTTTTAAATTGGGGTATAGTTGTTTTACAATGTTGTGTCTGCAATGTTAATAGGAATGAAAATAAAAGTAATTTCTTCCACAATGCATAGAATTTTTAAAAATTGTCACGAAGAACCCTGACATACTTCCTTCAAAAACTTTCTACATTCCAATGCATATTTCCATTTTCCCCGTACCCATCTTCATGTTTCTGATTTGTGGCTGTCTTGTCTCCACTGAACACAATCAATTTTCTTTCCTTTTTGTTGGTGGAATACACATCAATTGTTTTGGTATAATTAAAACTATTCATTGTGTGAGTGAGAAAAGAGATTTAAATGAAATCAAATATTCTCATATTTTTCCTGATAAAAGACCAAATTATCTAATCTATCCTTCATGATATATATAAATATAAGCACAAAACAATGAGTATTTTAAAATCTTCAGACCTGCCTTATGAATAACTATATATACAGCAACTATATATAGTTATATACAATGGTTGCCTATGATTGAAAAACTGTATGCTATCCATGCATCACTGATTTAGATTTTGTTGAATACACAAAAGAATTAATTCTATGTATTGTTTTATACCATTCATTCACACAGTGCCATCCGCATATTTTTTAAGAACAAAAAACAAACAGAAGAAACTTCAAAAGTTTACTAACAGATAAATTCATCAAAGTGTTTTTAGTAAATATAGCTACATTTAAAGCTTACTTACTTTAGTAATATATGTGTTACACTTTATATTGTTTCAGTTCAAAGATGAAATAACTACAGCTTCCCTGGTGGAGCAGTGGTTAAAAATCCGCCTGTCAATGCAGGGGACATGGATTCGAGCCCTAGTCCAGGAAGATCCCACATGCCGTGGAGCAACTAAGCCCATGCGCCACAACTACTGAGCCTGTGCTCTAGAGCCCGTGCTCCGCAATAAGAGAAGCCAAGACGATGAGAAGCCACGCACCACAATGAAGAGCAGTCCCTGCTCACCACAACTAGAGAAAGCTCGGCGAAGCAACAAAGACCCAATGCAGCCCAAACAAAACAAAACAAAAAGAACAAATAAATAAATTTAGAAAAAAATTATAGGGGCTTTCCTGGTGGCACAGTGGTTGAGAGTCCGCCTGCCGATGCAGGGAACATGGGTTCGTGCCCCGGTCCGGGAAGATCCCACATGCCACGGAGCGGCTGGTCCCGGGAGCCATGGCCGCTGGGCCTGCGCGTCCGGAGCCTGTGCTCCGCAACAGGAGAGGCCACAACAGTGAGAGGCCCGTGTACCGTTAAAAAAAAAAAAAAAAAATATATATATATATATATATATATATATATATATATAAAAGAAATAACTAGGCCTATTTTTTAAAAGAGGATTTTCCTGGATTTTTGTTATAAACACTGTGAAGCAAAGTATGTTTTTATAGGTCTTGAGTTCATGCACAATATGTTTCTGGGATCACAGCCCAAAAGAAAAACATTGCAACTCACTGGGGAATAATATTTAATGGCAAAAAGAAAAAAAAACTGGGGATGGAGAGAATGAGTAAGGAAAGAAGAATAAACAAAAAGATGATAGAATGTAAAAGGTTTATGAGAAATTGAAAAATATATTTAGGACAAAAATATTAACATAGTTTATGATATTTATAGTAAAAACTTATTTGGCTGAAAAAAATTCTCTAAAATTAATGTAGTCAACATCACATGTTAAGTATATTAAACAACATGTAGAATAAGGATACATGTCTTATTTGGCTACTTTTGAAAAATGATTTATTGTTCCCCTAATCTGAAAGCAGTCTAAGGTAGCCATCCCTATTAAAATGTCTTATTTAGGGAAATATACTGTAGAAATTCAAACATTCTAATTCTACCTCAATAATTTGTTGATATAATAGTCTCAATTCTAGATCTTTAAGAACTATTAGTTCTGAAAAGTTTAGGTATACATGTACTAGAAAATAGTGGCTGAATCAAATAAGCTCTGTAATTTGACATAAATAAAGCTACAAAGCACTGACATCATCAAAGAAAGAACGTAGTGTGAAATATTAACTAAATGGTTGGGTTTTAAAGATGTAGAATTCTGTATATCTCAAAGAATCCCAATAATACATTAAATTCCTTGGATCCTCAGAGAAACCCATTTCCAAGCATATGTGCACAAGTACCTTAGCCTCTTCATGCCTGCTTGCCTGTACCACAGTCAGAGAAGGCAGGATATTTGGTTAGGCATATGTTTATGAATAAAGACAGGAAAATTCCAACTTTAAAACCAAATATTTTCCTTGTTTAATTCTGATATCTTATTGGTCCATATGTTGCCTCCTCCTCACAGTATGGTCCCCTCCTCACAGTATGTTACCAAAAATCTAGATTTTGACTTTCTTTTAAAGCATAAGGATAACATCAAGCAGACAGAATTGAGGAGTGGAAATACTGTCTGAGAAAGAAGAGCAAAACTGATGATAATCTAAATACATACTGACACATTTACTGAAGACATTAGGTGCTCCATAAATGCTTACTGAAATGCTGTTTTGTGACATTTGTTGTGATAAATTCATCTCTTTAAGAATCCTCATGAGTTAACCACAACCAGTTCAGTATAATTTAATAGAAAACATCTGGTGGCACTTTTAAACGCGTAAGAAGAGCATTTCACAAACCACTGCAGCAGGAGAAAACGAGGCTAACACAGAGAAGCAGAGATGAAGAGCAGGAGAGTCCTGAACACATCATTTGATTATATGAATTGGGTCTTGCCTGAGACCAGCCCCTCTCCTAGATTTTCCACAGAGTGCCCAGAAATTCCTTTTCTCTTTTTGGCTTAAGCTAGCTGCATTTCAGTTTCTACAATTTGCAACCAAGAGAACGCTAGTATAGAGTACCTTTCCAGTGCAAAAAAAATCTTGTTTCTGCCTCCACATATTCATATGTAAATATCAGATTCCCATCAGTATCCTATTATAGTAATTGACAATGTGGCTGTAACAGGAAAAGAAAAAATAAGCCTGAAATATAACCTCAATCCCACTTAGAGATTCATAATACAAACTATAAAGATTCTGAGTTCTCCAGTAAAGAAATCTCTATAACTCAGCCGAACTCACATTTACAAATCATATTAGAGCACAGAATCCTTGTTAATGAAGGTCTTATGTCTTTTAGAACTGCTAATTGGCACAGGTTGGGAAATGCAACTTGAAAACATGGCCGTGATCCTTTAGATCTAGCATCTGAAGAAACATTGAAAAAGCATTCCTAACTGCTTTCTAACATACATATCACAGAACACAAATTTGAATGTAAAAGTAGTTCATCTTCTAGATTGAAACTAACTTACCTGCATTGAAATAAGAATGAAATCAATTAGGCTCCCAATTCCACAAAATCCTACAGTGCAAAACTTTAACAAACCTAGAAAAGAAGGTAAAGTCATTTACAACCTGGAAAGTCTTATAAATATTAATAAACTTTTCCATTTCCCAATAAACCATTACATATAACACAAATGCTTTATATTGGCAATATAAAAATAACACTTAAAAAAAATCAAATCTTGGGCTTCCCTGGTGGTGCAGTGGTTGAGAATCTGCCTGCCAATGCAGGGGATGCGGGTTCGAGCCCTGGTCTGGGAAGATCCCACATGCCGCAGGGCACTAGGCCCATGAGCCACAACTACTGAGCCTGCGTGTCTGGAGCCCGTGCTCTGCAACAAGAGAGGCCGCGATAGTGAGAAGCCCGCGCACCGTGATGAAGAGCAGCTCCCGCTTGCCACAACTAGAGAAAGCCCTCACACAGAGACGAAGACCCAACACAGCCATAAATAAATAAATAAATAAATAAATAAATAAAGCAAACTGTCAACATGTAAAAATAAATAAACACTATTAAAAAAAAATCAAATCTTCACCTGAAAATATGAGAAAAGTTTAAAGGGCCCTCTACATAGAAAAGCCAAAAAAAATTAATTCACTTAAATAAATAATAAGAACTGAAATAAAAACTCAATGTAATCTTACAAAACTTAAAAGTTTTGTAATCTTACAAAACTTCTAAGAAAATAAACCTTTAAATCTCATTACACCAGAGTTACAGCACATCTTTTAGTCTTAAAATCCTTATTTATTTATTTAGACTTAATACATTATGGATCCAAATTTTAATATGCATTTACAGTAGGAAGTTCAAATAGACAGACTGTCAAGACACAGAAAAAATAATCAGAAAAAAACACTGATCTTGTAGTTAAACAGCAAAATTCTATCAGTTACCCAATTATCTTGAAGTTATCCTATATTGTACTTTTTCCCTAAGCATCTTATGTTTTTTATTAGCCCAATAGTCAAAATCAACAATTCTGTGAGCTATATACACCTGTCCTTGGTTCCAACCATAAAGTTAAGGTACTAAAATAGATGATAATAGAGCATAGAATCTAGGACATATACAATGATATAACACAAAAATATAATGATGAAATTAGAAGAGGCAGATTGGGGGTGGGGGTGGGATGAGTAATCTCTCTTCTATATTTAAACTTGAGCTGCTTTCCAGATATCCCATTTGAGATATAAAAATGGTATGAAGCAAGACTGTTCGTGAAAGGGTAGTTCTAAGCATCAACTACAAATATATATCAGCTAAAATTGTAAGACTGGATGAGATCACCTCTTGCACACATTTGGAAATACATAAAAAAGACTGAAATATGTAGGTAAATTAGATGATTTCCACCCACCCCACCACCCCTTATTAGTATTAGATATACAGTAGAACAATGTTTTAAGTACTGTGATAACACATGTTGGAAATGATATTAAAACTTAAAATATAGATACTATATAAAATTATGCACTTAGTTTTCTTCAAAATACTTATTACCTACCTAATATTTTATATTGTTTACTATCTGTCTCATGGAAGCCCTGTTAGGGGAGGGTCTTTTATATGTCTTGTTCAATTCTGTGTCCTTATTACCTACAACATTGCCTGGCACATGGTAGATGCTCAATATTTGTTGAACAGATAAATTTTCTCAGCTTTTCTGTCTCCTAAAGACCCCTAACTTTTTATCCACTATCTTACATAACAACTCCTTTAATTATTTTTTTCATTCATTGCATTTTACTATAGTTGCCCAAGGAACTTTATCCACTCACTCAGTATATGTACTATATCCATTCACTCACTTATTTTATTTCTGAAATGTATCCCTCTTCACAGAGCATTTTGGAAATACCACAGAGTTTCCCTTCCTTCAACTTGTTTACAAAAAGAATATTAAGAATGGTCAAAAAAAGTTTGTCTTTAATGAACTGCTACTCTATGAAAAAAATGTAACCATGTCAGAGCCTTTGCCCTTGTCATCCCATCTTCCAGTGATGTTCTTCCTGTAGCTCTTCTCATCTCAGGCTACTTCTTCAGAGAAGTCTTTGTAACCTAGCATGCTGCTCCCCGTAGCAGCCCCAGCACTGTTATCACATCTCCCCTATTTATTTCCGTCATGGTGCTGATCAGAAATCATTCATTGGTTTGTTCATTCATTCTCTTTCTTCCTATGCCATGTAAACTCTTAAAGGCAGGGTTCTTATCTGTCTTATTCAAGTCAATTCCTGGAACAGTACGTGACAGAAAGTAAGAGTTTAATAAATATCTGCTGTAAGACTATCAAAAAATTAGAAACAATCTAAGTATCTAACAGGGAGAAATTGTCTCAAGAAATTAAGATAGACCTAACAATAGGAGAAAATACTATGAAGTCATTTTAAAACAATGATATAGAAGTATATTTACTGGCAAAGTAACGATAATACACAAAACAGAGAAAGATGTGAGTCAATTAAAGTCTAGATATTCAGTTGCTAAACCCCTTCTGTAAGGATGTTTCAGAAGATTGAACACGACAGGTTCCTGTTCAGATAAAATATTAGATAAATTAGATAAATATTAGATAAAATGTTAGATACATGTATTTGGAACTTTGATAAATTTTACCTACTCCTGGAGTAACACTTTTCAGAAACTATAGAACAGATCCAAGATGATATTTAAGCATTTAAGGAATCTGCAAACTAATCAATGATGGAAAGCAGGTGAGTGCTTGCTTGGGAAAAAGCAGGACAAGGAGGGCCAAGAGGCAGGGATTACAAATAGGCATGAGGACACTTTGGGGAGTGACAGATATGGTCATTATCTTGATCATGGTGGTTGTTTCACAGGTGTATACATGTCTAACTTATAAAACTGTACATTTTAAATATGTGCACTTTAAGAGATAATGAGTCAAAGTAAAAGCTTAGAATAGTACATGGTACATGGCAAACATATGATAAATGTTAGCCCAGCTGCTACTTGTGCTACCACTATTTCTACTATATTACAATTATTATTATAATTGAGAAATTTATACAGCATAAACCCACATCATTTACAGTAGCATCATCTAACCTAGCCTCCTCTTGCAAATTCCTTCTGTCTGTGTTACAGTCAAACTACCCGAAGTTCTCTTCCAATGGGCTGTGCTCTCATACCTGCATTTATATGTGCTATGCTGTCTTCTGCCTTGCCTCCTCTGCTGCCCCCCACTATTCCCAATCATCTAGCTAACTCTCTTTGGGCCTCTCACTGCTGCGGCCTCTCCCGTTGCAGAGCACAGACTCCAGACGCGCAGGCTCAGTGGCCATGGCTCACGGGCCCAGCCGCTCCGCGGCATGTGGGATCTTCCCGGACCCGGACACGAACCCGTGTCCCCCGCATCGGCAGGCGGAGTCTCAACCACTGCGCCACCAGGGAAGCCCCCTAGCTAACTTCTAATAGTCTTTCTTAAAACTTCTGGAAAGTTTTCTCTAATGCTCCCAGGATGAATTTAATGCCATCTCTAGATGCTCCCTAGCACCCTGCCCTTAACTTTCAGCAGAGCACATATCCCATGGTATGATTTATTATATATTTATTTGTCTGACTTCCCCTATATCCTTCCTTCCACAAGCAACTTGAAGTCAGGGCTGTGTCATTTCTGTGCCTAGTCAATATGGCTACTGAAGGAATAAAATATATCAATAGTAAATTATCTTATTTGTAAACAAACACTGAGCAACTTGAAAAACACAAAGTAGCATACATTCTAAACAGCATTTATTAAAACTGAAAACGATCAGAACCCTGTGGGGCCCCTGGGCACAGAAGTCCTTCTGTCCCCTGTTTTCTTGTTTGTAGGGAAGAGGATCCAGTCTCCATGACCACCTCTGAGTTCTAAAGGGCGGACTCAAACAGCTGCTAATCAAGGGAGGAGCAGCCAAGAAACTACCTGAGGCCAGGAACCAGAGAAGCTCATCAAGATTATCTGAGACCAGATTACAGAAGTGCAGGCCCCGTACACACCCTAATCTTGTCAGCAACCCCACCCTCGAACTATTGCTATAAAACACCTCATCAAATCCTCCTGGGTTGGGACACATAGTTTTCGACTGCAGGAGCCCACTGTGTCCCCCTTTGGCTGGCAAAACAATAAAGCTATTCTTTTCTCCTTCACCCAAAACTCTGTCTCCGAGATTCAATTTGGCACCGGTGTACAGAGGCCAAGCTTTCGGCAAAAAACAATGCAAACCGTTACTCTTACAGATTTCATTATTTTGAGCACCAATACCAGTTTTTAAAAGATGGGGAGGTATTAGTGAACTACCAAAAGTAGACTGACTTTTTTGTCCAAGTAAAAATTTTTAGGGCTCTTTGTACAGACCCTATTTACTTATCTTATTATGGAAAGAAATATTATATTTAGATTTTAGAGATTGTTTTCTAATTCCAATTAACAATGTTTCCAATCAAGAAGGATCCATTTTTATCTTGAACCATTACTATTGTAGATATATTTTTCCAAAAAGATTCTGCTGCCAGATGACATTAATAAATGTCATGCTTTTAGTGTACTTTATTTATACTTCAGTAACTTAAACTTTACATTTAAAAGTACACAAATTCAGGGCTTCCCTGGTGGCGCAGTGGTTGAGAGTCCGCCTGCCGATGCAGGGGACACGGGTTCGTGCCCCGGTCCAGGAAGATCCCACGTGCTGCGGAGCGGCTGGGCCCATGAGCCATGGATGCTGAGCCTGCGCGTCCGGAGCCTGTGCTCCACAACGGGAGAGGCCACAACAGTGAGAGGCCCGCGTACCGAAAAAAATAAAAAGAAAAAAAACAGTACACAAATTCAATAAAAGAATTTATTTGGGTATAAAATAAAAAGAACAGAGATTCATTTTTGGTATTCTAAAAAATTTTGGTATTTTTTGTTTTATTGCAGGTTGAATCTTGTAAATACTTTTGTTTCTGTATAACTATGTTAGAGAATGCAGATGATTATTTCATACTGAAGTTGCTGTTTGCCAAATCCCAAGCATTCTATAACGATTTGGTAA